TCAGGATCTGAACAAACCTCATTTTCACAAACAAGATCCTTGGATTTCGATTTCAATTTGCAACCAACATTAGTAGAAGTAGGTTTGTATTTAACCTGTGACTCACAAAGGATAAATTGATAGTATCTTAGAATATCACCATTAGATTAAAGCTATCTCTGAGGTAAATATATCATGGGTACTTCAATAGGTAAGTATACCTCAACCCCTCTGAATTTTTCCTTCAAAAAAAATTTCTAAATGGAGTTATGTGTAAACCAATTCATGGGGAATTATACCAACTAATAATATTATCCAGAGGGAATTATATCAATTGCTAACAATGTTCATGGGGAATGATGCTAATCTTTAATAATATCCTATAGGAATTATTTGTGTACCAATTATTCATCATATTAAAGCAAGTTAAAATACGAGATAACGCTGTTTTTATGTAAATACACATATGTGTACAAAACCGTAAAACTCAGAATTTACATCTATCACTTCTAGTCATTAAAAAATTAAAAAAAAGACTTTAGTAGCTATTTAGGACCTATAGAATGGCGGTTAGTTGAGAGCACATTGAATTTTTTAAAAAAGTGTGTTATTGGGACACCCTATTGAACAATCATTATAGTCTAGAGTCGGAGTTGCGACATTTTTGGCGGAGTCGGAGTCGCTAAACAAAATTGCGACTTCGACTCCAATAGTAAAACTTCTCGGTATTGCACGTGCATGTATAAAACATTCAACTATCCTTACGTTCATACTAAACCTCAAAGAACCTTTCATAAATTTGTCAAAAAAAAAAAATTTAACTGTTGCGTAATATTTTATTAAAGAATTCAAAGAATTTTTCAAAAATTTTGCTTTGGAGTTGGAGTCGGAGTTGGAGTCGGAGTTGGAGTCGGAGTTGGAGTCGGAGTTGGAGTCGGAGTCGGAGTCGGAGTTGGAGTTGTGCTCAAAAAAGTTCAACAACTGGAGTCGGAGTCGTTACTTTTTTTTTACGACTCCACACCCCTGGTCTGGAAAAAGAAAAACAGGCACCATTGACTATCAAATCAAATACAAGGTAATGATGGTTCTATAGTTTGTAATAAGTCACTAAAACTAGTTATTTAGGCAAATTAAAACTAAACAAGCTTTTACCGAATAACTTGCTGAATTAATCAAAAATAATAAATATAGTGCAGCTTGCTTCATTTTAACATTTTCAAACACAAGAGAAGCAAATGTGGAAAAAGAAAAAATTGGAGGTAATAAAGAACGAGACATTTCAGTGCTACGAAGTAGTATGTTCAAAATAAGCACAAACTAAATTAGGTTTTTCTATTTAATACTTTTTCTCATTGTTAATAAGAATAAGAGTCTTTGCGGAATATATGATATGTTTACTGGCTGTGATCACATTGTTGATTGCTTATTTGAGCTCACTAAAAAGTAATAGTAGAAAGAAATTTATCAAATTTTGCTTATGGAATGATTAAGTATGGGTGAAAATTAGTTAACCTATCTCTTGATCCTGACAGATAATCAGCACCAATAGCACTTCTAGAGTTGAGCGTTTGTCGTTGTAAAGGCAGGGGGTGGATGCAGGATTTTTTATGGGTGATGCGTATTTTTAATGCATCGTCCTCTACCCAGTAGAGGGAGAGTAATTAGAATAAGGCAAGGGGCATACCTGGACGAATCCAGCTTGCTTTTGTTTCAAAATGCTTTAATTTGAGTAATTTAAAAAACGCCAAAAAGGAAGTGTCATTTTCAGACAATTTTACAAAAAAATGACCTTGTATTAAAAAAGGAAAAAATAAATACAAAGCATTTCGTTCCATTTGCAATATTTTTGTATTGATGTATTGGTAACCCTGTTGTAAAATAATGTAATTCAAAATATACTTTGTTATACTAATACCTTAATTTAAAAGCATCATCAAACTCGTCGTAAGTCAATTCAGTAAAACTATTTTTGAGTTACTTAGAATTTGTACATCATTATCATGTTTATCTTTCATGTTTGGAATGCTATTAGATAATGTTTTCCCAATAGTTGTAAAATGTTTTTTTAATTCAATTGTTATATAATTTGGTTCATTTAATATAGTTTTACCAATATTTAATGTAAGTGGCAGTGACGTAACATTATTTTATTATTTTTTCTGTGATTTGATTCCTTGATAGTTTCGTAAAAAACAGAAAAACTTTAAAATTTTTTAACAACTTTCTATGTTCGTATATATCATACTAATTTGTTAAATAATTGTACAAGACTTGCTTCTAAGGTTTAAACCACTAATTATATATAAGTAAAATACCTTTAATAATATATAGATAATTGAAAATATTTTTAATATCAGGTTAACAATACAATTGCTTCCTTTCTCCCTTGGAAGGGTAGTATACAACTATATTCTTAATTTAATGATAAATCTGGATAAACTAAGTTTGCATCATTCTTGTCCACCAATGAAACTTTAACACGCATTTAAGTTCTCCAAATCCAACTGTATATAATATATTTTTTTAACTGATATTTAAAAAAAGTTATAAACATAATATCACTTGGTTGTGACAAAAAGACTATTAGTCTAACATTTGACTTTTTAAGAATGCAATGCTTGTTGAACCATTATTGTCGCAATGTCCGAGTTTCAGCAGCTATACAATCTTTCATTCAAATTAAGAGTGTAAAGTAATGATGGTCGATCTTCTTTTTAAGCTAAATAGGAAAAAGTTAAACCAATTTAGAAAAATTGTGTGAACATTTAAACAGATCACCTTTAATGAATATGTGTTTAATGAATTTTATAAATAGTACAGCAACGTACAATATAAAAGAGGAATACATTGCATCCTTGAAGAAACACAATCTGTTTTTTAAGTTTGAAATCTTTTAAAAGGTGAAAAACACAAAACAACAAAATAATGTTTAATTAATAGTTAATTAGGTAATATTTGAGCTCGTTTACTTTTTTCTTGAGAGTAAAATGCTTTTCCTGCAACAGTTTACTTTTCTTTTTTTTTTTTGTTCTTTTATCAAAATTTTACAAATACGTGATCATAATATATATTGGTTCGTTTACAATGTATAAAATAAAATATTGTACATATAATAGGAACTTTTATCAGTACAAATATTAAATTTAGCACAAATTATAAATATAAAAAGGTAACGCTGTTAAAAGAACGCGGGAAACTAACAGAAGACCATGTGGTCTTGTCATCAAGAAACAGCTTTTAGTTGCGATATTTTTGTATACTTATATTTGTTGAAAAAAGTTCAGTTTAGCAAAGTCTCTTAGTGGCATTAGAGTCACATATAAATAACTATTAGATAATCAAAAAGAGAAAAGAGCTGTATTTGATACTCATAAATATATAATTACACAGCTTGTTATACTTAATATATTGGCAGACATGTATGAAATATAAATAAAATCTAATATACACTTTGCTTTTAAGTTAATTCTTAGGGTTTTTTAGTTATTAGTTTTAATATACGTTCGTAAAATTGTTTATGCTAAGAACAAGTTTTTTTAATAATATTTTCCGAGAATTTGGGTAATTTAATTTTGTAATTGTAGTATTTTTAAAAATTAGTTTGTTGTAGAGGTAAGGGCCGCGATACGAAATAGAGAAACGTTATAGTTTTGGTTTTTTATTTGGTACATTAAAATTTCCTGTACATCGAGTATCGTATCTATTTCTATTGCATTTAAAAAACTCTTCTGAAAAATGTGATGGGAGAAGTCCAAGTTTATATTAAAGCATGAACAACAAATTTTGATAGATGTTAATTTTATGGACGTTTAGTGCATTAAGATGTTTTAGCAAAGGTTCAGCATTAGTACACTTATCTTTATTAAATACTAATCTTGCAGCATAATTTTGATGTCAGTAGAGTGCCATTAGGTTGGATCTATGGGTACTTGCCCATTCTATATTACCATATGTATAATAGATTTGAATAAAATAAAAAAAAAGTTGCTTTAAATTTGTTTGGGGTTTTATCGGTCTAGCTTAGCATGCAAATGTTGTTTCTTATTTTAGTATTTAAAAACTTATGTGAGATTTCCATGAAATATTCTCATCGATAAGTATCCCTAAAAATTATGTTGCTTAGGTTCTTTCGATAATTTTATTTTCTATTTTTAGATATGGTAATATATTTGGTAAAGATTTTTTTCTACGATTGGATTGTAGTTGGTTTTTTCTGTATTCAATGATAATTTGTTAGATTTAAACCAAGTATTAAGTTTTTCAAGTTCAATACTTGCAGTTTCAAAGAGTTCTGTGATAGAAGTAGATTAATAAAAAAAATTAGTATCATCTGCAAACATTATGACATCGAGTTTGTTTGAGACTTTTAGAAGATCATTGATGTATAGCAAGAAGAGTAAGGGAGCTAGACTGGAACCTTGGGGAACTTCGCATTTAATTTTAAGCAATTTTGAATGGATACTTTTATCTGTAATAACAGATTGTTGTCTGTTTATAAAAATGCTCTCAAACCATTGTAAAGCAACATTTTTAATGTTTTTCCATTTTTTTAAGTAATATAGGATGATTAACACACGGTCGTTTCGCAATGGACATTTATAGTGCGCAGGCGCATTACTTATAAATTAATATGCGCAGCTAAAGCTGTTATTTCACTTGCCTCGAAAACGGAGCATTTGGAGGTATTTTAAATCTAAGGTATACACGATACGAATAAAATAAAACTCATTAATAAAAATTATTTTTATCAACTAAAAGTTTAGTAAGTAGAAAAAAAAAAAAATCACAACAAAAAAAACCACACATGAACCTTAAATTCACTTGTCAAGTTAACCGAGATTTTATCGCAGATTATCTTTCTTATTCTTTAATAAAACTTACGAAGATCAATTTTTATAAAAAAGTGTTATATATCATTTGAAAGAATAAAGGTTGAGCTATATTATTTAGCATATTATTTTTACCAGCCATTTTTTTTACAAAAAGATTTGAAGCTTGAAAGTTGGCTAATATTTCGCTAATTTTCTACTAATTGTAAAATAATAGGGCCGACCTATTTCGAAATCTTTAAGAACCTTATATAAACATAATAAATATATAAATAAATTAAACAATAAATTTGATAATTACATAATTATTGCATAATAATAATAATTTGCATAAATACTTTATTATATATAAACTATAAATTTTATTATATAATTTTTTTTCTTCGAAGGACGATTGGCGGTTTTAACGAACTCGCAATTAAATTATTTCTTATAAAATGATCTCTCATGATACATTCTAGTTTTCTCGTACCAGACATGGTTGAGTATATTCTTCCAATATTATTAAACTCGGCATGAATACTCTCGCCACCTTGCTCCCCATATAGCCCAAGGCCAACTCCCCATGTGCTCAAAAAAACTCCAATATGATTTTCCAACAAGTGCATTTTTGGAGTTATTGACTCATTAGGCCAAGTGCTACTAAAAAACTTCATTAATTCGCATACAGCTGTTTCTACAAAACAAATTAACAAGTATTAAAAAAAATAATAATAATAATACTATATATTTTATATATATGGCAAAATATCTTCATCACTATTTATTAAAGATTATAATACTCCTTAAAAAAAGACTACTTCTGCAAATAAAAAACTACTTCTATAATAAAAATTTTCATGAAAAATTACCGAAACTCTTTATATTTTCTTCGTTGAATAAGTGACATGAATTCATTTCATTGTCGCACTTTGAATATTTGTGAAATAATGCTTTAAATTTTTGCTGTATGTCAACCGCCTCCATATAAATTGGATGTTCTCTATCTGCTATATTATTAAAAACTGTTTGAGAAATTGAGTCACATAACTTTTTTATGTTATCAACCTGAAAAATAAAATACATATATACGCATATATATATACTATTATATATAGGTATTATAGTAGAACTATTATTTGGAATGATAACTAAATTATTTAATGCAGAGATGGCAAAATTTTAATGCCTAAAAACATAGATTTGTATACAAAAACATGTACCTTTAACATTTTGTGAACATGATTTCCAACGAACGAGCAACTGTGATAAGCTTGACGTTGTACTCCACATGACTGCAAAACAGATTCAATTTCCTTTAATATTGGCCCCATTCCTTCTATTAACTTAAATTTTGAGCATTCCGCAATTTTTCCTTCCTTCAAAATTAAATATAAATATAGATGTATACAAAATCCAGATAATACAGTCATTGAAATATTAAAAAAAAAAATGCCCTTAAAAAAAACTATCCTCTCAAAATAATTTCCAGTACTATTTAATGTTGATACCTTTTCTATTCTCTTCGATTTTAACAATGCAATTCTCTCAGAGTACATTAACTGCAAGTACTCTGTATTTTTAGGGCTGCGAAATACTTCAACGACTATTGTATCTTGAATAAGAAGAATTTTTGTATTTATATCATCAACGTCATATTCTAATTGATGTATCTCTGCCTGCTTCTCAACATATTTGTCAAATTCACTTGATTCAAGGTGTTTATCATTTATTGCTAGAAATCCAGCTAGTTTGATATCAAGGAGATGACATTCTACCTCTAACATTTTGAAGAATTTTAGAAATATTCCCAATGAGATGTGTAGAGCTGGTATTGCTATCTATAAAATGATTTTAACAATTGCATAATAGCTATATATATAAGTATATATATATATATATATATATATATATATATATATATATATATATATATATATATATATATATATATATATATATATATATATATATATATATATATATATATATATATATATATATATATATATATATATATATATATATATACTCTTGCATGTCTCTTGCATGGCATCAAAAAAAGTTTCCCATAAACTGTAGTTTTAAAGAGCGCGTTAATAAACCAGACCAGAAAAAGTTTTAGAAAATTAAATTTTTTTTTTAATTGATAGACTGCCTGGCCAAACCAAACCCTCAGTCGATGTAGCAGCACTCTCTTGCGAGTCAGGCTATTTGTCAGTCGATGTAGCAGCATTCCTTTGCGAGTCAGGCTATTTGTCAGTCGATGTAGCAGCACTCCGTTGCGAGTCAGGCTATTTGTCAGTCGATGTAGCAGCACTCCGTTGCGAGTCAGGCTATTTGTCAGTCGATGTAGCAGCACTCCGTTGCGAGTCAGGCTATTTGTCAGTCGATGTAGCAGCACTCTGTTGCGAGTCAGGCTATAAGATAGTCGATGTAGCAACATTTACGCATGTTTTAAAAATGTTTTTTATTAAATCAATAACAAAAACACCTCTAATTAAAAAAAACTTTCTAGTCGTTATAATTGCGGTTTTTTAAAAAATTTTTAAAAAACAATTAAATTTAATGTACTTCCGCATAAATTAATTGCTTTGACATTTCGATGACAATCAAAAACAGCTTAAGAGACGAGGTAATTAAAATTGTAGTCGTAAGAGACTTTTTTTACATTAAAACGCTCTTTCGACTACACTATATGGGTATATATATATATATATATATATATATATATATATATATATATATATATATATATATATATATATATATATATATATATATATATATATACTTATATATAGTGCCTATATATAAGTATATACTATTATATAGAGGACCCCCCCCCCCCTAAAAAAACACAGCCTCAATCTTAATCTTAATAACAATAAAATTTTCAAAACATTCAATTATTTAATGTATTTCTAAAAAAATAATAAATCAAATTTAATACTACTTAAATTAAGCTACTTAAATTTTGGAAAGGGGCCTCTACAATTTGCTGCCCCTGGTTTGGGGTAGCCTAACCACAGACCTGCATTTATATTTATATTACTGGCATTAATGCTTTGGCAACAATTAACACACACCTGTTCAATTGGTATATCAAATAACGGCTCATCAATTACATTATTGAAATTCTTTGCACGTTTGATATTGCCTCCATCATTTTTGAATCGTTCATAATCTGATTTTAAAGTTGCAAGCGTTCTCAAAAGAATCAGTCGCGTTCTAGCTTTAATGTTCAATTGCATTTCACTTGATGTGATTTCACAGAATAAACAGCAATGACGACCTGTTAAATTAAATATTCATAATATTACTTTTAATGCTCTTTGTGTACATTTTTAGTAATTAAAATAAGAATATAAGCTAAAAGAAATACAAAACTATAAGCTAACCAGTTGCTCCTGTGATGCCATAAATAGCACACAAAAATACATAATCACCAAATATAAATACACGCAAACATTTTTCCCTAAAATGAGAATGTATTAAAATCAAATAAAAGTTTATTAAAATATCTATGTTTTTTATTTTACAAACATTTCTTATCCAAATAAACTTTTGAAATATTTTTTTATTCACCTCCATTTCATTGCTTGAAGCTGTCTAATTTCACCTATGTGTCTTGAGAGTGAAATTTTGAGGTTTACTCTATAATCTTTGGCCTCAAATATATTGAAAACAGTCGTATTATTTTTTGAATTGGGTGTAGCAACATTAGCTACCTGATAGCTCATTTTAAATGAACCACCTCCGTGGTCACCACCAATCTTTATATGTATTTCACTAGGAGTTATCTTTTCAAATGTTAGTTGGTTATATCTATGATAATAAAGAAAGAAAATATATTTATAACAAAAAAATATATACAATTTATGCAGAGATATAATATTTGCACAATTTATGATTTACACTTCTTAAGTTTTGTTTAAAACACTCAATTTTCAATTTTCTTGCATATTTAACAAGAATTAATAAACATTACATTAGTCTCTTATATTTTGAACTTACCTTTCTAACTGATCCAGTACCTTGATTAAATGTGATGGCAAATCATTAATATATGCTGTAGGTGTATCTTTCAATTCAAAAGTTCCTTTTTTGTTTTTTAATTCAAACAGCAGTTCTTTATCTTCAAACATCAAATCGTTACCTGACCAATATTTTGCAACTTTTCGTTGATTAGAAAGTGAGGGTAATTTGACATTTTTTGTCTGGAAAAATCTGAAATATAAAAGTTTTTTTAATTTGAAAAATTAAATGAAAAAAAAAATAAAGACAACAAAATGCTGATAAATATAAATGCAATTTATAATTTGAAATAACTTGATTATTGTTTTATGCATAATTTATTTTTATTAAAATAATGTTATATACCTTATCATTTTTTTCATCTTTTCCCAAGGTAAACCACAGTCTGCTTTAAGTGATACAATATCTTCTGGTCCTATCTCAACTTGGGAGAGATTTGATTTTTTTAGAATATCAATTTTATCGTTTTTATTAAAAGAATTGAGCATAAGTGCTACTTGTTGTATTTTTGCCTTTTTTGTTGGTCCTGCATTATCTATCAGTGATTGGTGGAGTTGCTTTTGACGTCTATAAATGGTTTTCTGACTAATCTCAGTTGATGTTTTAAAGCTCTTTGTAGTCACTGAAAACTGTGTAGCCTAATTAGTGAAAAAAATTACTTTTTATGCAAATACATTATTTATAATAAATTTAACTAATAATATTTTTGTTAAAAAAATTTAATTTCTTACCCTTGGACCGCCAGAAGGAAGTTCAAATGAATGTGAATTGTTTTTTGCCATTTTTAGCTTTGCAAAGTGAGCAAATGCATATTCTAGTTCTTTAGGAATATCACTATTTGTATTAATTTTGTAAATATCTATTACTGTCAATGAAGAGGAAGACGATGCTGAACATTGGGGTAATATGTTTCCACTTTTCCATACTTGTTCATGTTCTTCCTTATTGCTTATACTTTTGCATGAATTTTCGGAACACTTTAGAACTATATTTTCAAGGATATTTTGCATAGTTGTTGCTTTTGAAATGCTACCTAAAGATATATTAGAGCCACATAACTTGCATTTTGCTTCTGTCTCTAATTTTCCAACTAAATTTGGAAAAATACATGAAGCACAAAATAAATGTTGGCAGTTATTAAGTAAAACAGGTCGATGAAATATTCTTTTACAAATCTTGCAGATGCATAAATCTTTGTGGGGGTTATTAACTATACTGATAGACTCATAGCATAAGCGAGGCATTTCAGAAAAACTGTCTAATATTTCATTAATTGATTTCCTTGTCCAAACATCTTTATTAACTGATGGTGGTCTTCCAAATGGTTTCTTTTTCTTTCTGACAGATTTCTTTAAAAAACATATACAGCTTTCAAGTGAGCACGTATGCGGCCAGCTAGTTAAAATGAAATTAAAAGAGGTCGTTCCTCGCTGCTCAATATGTCTCATTAATGTATAACATTTCATGCAAATTTTTGGTGGGTGGATCTCCATTCTGTCTTCTCCTACCTCGGTAAAAAATGCTTGGTCAACTCTTGCTATTATATTTATTACATTAAATGAGTCAGTTCCAATATAATTTCCACATAGTCTGCATAGTTTGATAAGACACAAAATGTGGTTAGCAGAAGTAGCAGTCGCCATACTAGGTAGTTCGGTGAATTTTTTTATTTTAAAATTTCTAAAACTTAAAAAAATGGCTGGTAAATAAATTTAGTTATTTCTGAAAATATTTAAATTTTAGTTTAATAAACAATTTAGTTCTTGAAACAAAAAATTGATTTAAAAAAGTTACACAAGTTTGAAAAACATTTTTTTTTTTTTTACTATAGATTTTTAAAGCCAGTCAAAGATTGCCAAAAACCGATTGAAGCAGGATTTCTTTTATTTAAATAAAATCTTTGGTCCTTTAAATGTTTATAAAATCTTTGAATGATATAAAACAACATTAATAAGTATAAAATATAATAGTATTAAAATGTGATCCTATTCTCGTCGCCTGCAAAAAATATGGAAATTCTAGATTTTACTAAAGTCCATGTAAACGCATGCGCACTATAAATGTCCGCCGGGGATCAATATTGAACGATCGTGAACAGTATCAAATGCTTTTGATAGGTCCTAGAACAAATTTGTTATTATCAAAAGAGTCATTCATTTTATTTACAAGATCTAATATCGCATGTTCGGTTGAATGTTGCTTTTGAAATCCGAATTGTTTTTTATTCAAGATATTGTTATTAGTTAGGTATTTATATAGTTTATTGTAAACTATTCGTTCTAGAAGTTTAGAAAAGACTGGAAGGATTGAGATGGGTCTGAAGTTATTAAGTGAAAATGGCTCTCCGGTTTTAAATATTGGTGCAACTTTTACAATTTTTAATTTGTCTGGAACAGTTCCTATTGTAATTGAAGATTTAAAAATTTCGAATATGGGTTTAATACCACCGTGAAGACACTTATTACTACGTTGCTACAAATTTCATCGATCCCTGGTGCTTTGTTAATTTTCCGAGAGTTTTTTGCATCATCAAGTTCATGATAACTTAGACCATTGAATTTTAGTTCGCTATGTAGATCTGTAAGATAGGTTTCAAAATAGGCATTTGGGCATTAAATTTTGGACGCCATGTTAGGGTCGATGCTTGCAAAGAAACTGTTGAAATATTTGGTTGAAAAAACGATTATATACTTGTAATAAAAAAGAATAAGATAATTAAAAATAAGAAAAGATATATATATATATATATATATATATATATATATATATATATATATATATATATATATATATATATATATATATATATATATATATATATATATATATATATATATATATATATATATATATATATATATATATATATATATATATATATTAAGAGAGTAATATCATATATTTCGAATATAAATTATATTCGAAATGATCAAGATTTTTTAATGTTTTTCGTTTTTTTTTAATAAAGTGCAATATATCTTCTCCCCCCTACTCCTCCTTTTGTCTGCTTTCCGTTCAGAAGATAATAATTTATAGCTTGGAATTTAAAAGCTAGAATTTTTTTGAATTGATTCATCAGAGCACCAAGTTTCCGTCATGCAAATCATACTGAATGAGTAATACAATCGATTAAGTAATTGCAATCGATTAAAAAGTAATTAATCGATTAAGAGTAATTGCAATCGATTAAAAAATGTTTTAGTTATTCAAAATTTTTATTTATACTTTTTATATTTATGTGTATCGCCATAAGATTATTTTTAAAAGTTTTGAGTTCAGTTTTAAAAATTTTAATGTTAAAATAAGGCGTTTGCTTAAAAAAAAGATTAAATTAAAAAAACGCTACTTTTTGAAATCTCGACTAAAAATTCATATATAAATTGGTTTATTTTGCGTCTTTAAAAAGCAAAATAAAAAAAAATCATGTACGATTTCATTTTCTCTACCGTTAGAATTAAACTTTTTATTAACTAAAATAGCTAAAAGTAAAGTGAAAAAAAATCGAGTTTATTGCGCATACTGTTATATCTGTTTCCGGAAAAATACTTCAGTACTAATTAATTTATGCGTATGCATGTCGTATAATAAATACTTTATAATATTTTAAGTTGTTGAAACATAAAGCATAATAAGTTAAAAATAACATTAAACAAAAATTAAATTTCAAAAACTAAATTCAAATTTAACTTTTTAGCAAAAACTAGATTTGAATTTAAAATTAGAAAAAGATTCATAAAAAATATAGAAATTTAAAAGCATAAATTCAAAAGCTATTACAATAGTGTTACAATGAAAAAACTTACATATATATATATATATATATATATATATATATATATATATATATATATATATATATATATATATATATATATATATATATATATATATATATATATATATATATATATATATATATTAAAAAAAAAAATAAAAAAAAATAAAAAAATTATAGTATAAAAAATAATAATCTTTATGAATTGCAAATTATTAAAGAACTAAAATTTTATTTTGTTCGTTTTTTTTTAGTTTCAAGCTTATTATGTTACAAACAACATTTAAGACAAGCAAGTTCAGATGACGTGCCGGTATTCAAAAATTGTGACGTGTGCCAGACACTAGAGTACTCTTATGGAAATGGAAGTTATGTTGCACAAAATTGTATTACGGGAAAATCAGGTTGTTTATGCCCCACATATTCTATTGGTACAAATACCAGATGCCAGGTTTGTAATCTAAAGTGAGTTGAAACAAAAAGTGTTAGATATTGATGTTATAACTTTAAATAGCTTTAATATATAATTATCAGCTAGTAGTCGCTAATTATCAGCTAGTAGTCGCTAATTATCAGCTAGTAGTCGCTAATTATCAGCTAGTAGTCGCTAATTGGCGACAAACAATTAAGTTGTTATAAAATTTAGAAGAGTTGAAACAAGGGGAGACGAAAAAGGGTTAAAAAATAATAATAAAAAATAAAATGGTTTGAGCCATCTATTTGCGCGTGCGCGTTTACTGAAATTTAAAAAAGTTTTCAAAATTTCGTGATATTTACAAATTTTAACAACTACTTAAATTATATTCAAAAACTATTTAATTATTAGCTATTTTTAAAATTTTAACTTTGGAGCGTAAATGATATGAACTAATAAATCTACATTCGCCCTTTTTAGTTTTTTTGGTTCGTGATTTTCCGCGTAAAAGCTGATAAAGTTGGCTTTATATTATTTTTTTCAAATAATTTTTGAAGATTTTGTGTTTTTATTTAACTAGTTTATATATTTTATTTTAGTGTTGTTCTGCTGATTTATGTAACACTGCCATTTTTACAAGTGACAATGGTATGTATAAACAACAAATAATATCATAATTTTTGTCAACAGAGTTGACAAAAAATTATGAGATAAAAATAAAGTTAAAAAATAATAAAAAAAACAGCAACAGTGTAATAAACAAGAAAAACTAAAAATAAATTAAGCAAATAATAGATGCCTTCATTTCCATTAGTCTACATAAAATGACAACAAAGTTTGAAGTCATCTAGGTCGTGTTGTACCTTAACCGAGGTATACTTTGTGTATGAGTTACTACTATCTCCAAAAAACCTTTTATTTAAAAAACTTTTTTTTTTTTAGTTCTTGTTGTTTTAGCTGAGATAAATAAACTATATACTTTTTTAAACATTACCATTTTTTAATTTTAAATTTTAAGGTTTTCTTAAAAACATAAAAAATATAAAAGATATAAAAAGATATAAAAATATTTTTTACATGTAAAAATTAATTTATCACAAATTGTAATAAGTTGTTTTTGTTTTGTTTAATTAGTTCAATTAGTTGCCCAAATTATTTGACATTAGTTGTTGTATCGTTAAATGATACAAGCCCTAAATTATTAATTTCATTTTATGCAGCAATTTAATAGTTTAAGTATAGAAAAATAGTGATACTAAATTTATAATAGCAGACATCGGCGTCTTGTATTGCAAAAAAAAAATCATAACCCAGTGAGCGCAGAATACTTATTAAACGGCTTAGGATGTCGCACAGACCGTGTTATTATTTGTTAAACTGTTGAAGATAATCAGAAAATTAAAATAGATAAGATCATGCCAAGTCGAAAGTCGACAGTCGGCAATAGACTTTTTTTAATCTAAACGTTATATTATATGTAAAACTTAATTACATAAGTTTAATTTGAAGAAAAAAAAACAATATTGAATCCTTGGATGGATAAAACTCTTATAAAATGTTCAAGAAATAAACAAAAACTTTACAATAAATTTTTAAAAAACAGAACTGAAGTTAATGAAAAAAGTTACAAAAAATATAAACGCTTTTACGAAAATCTTCTCAAGAAAGCTAAAAAACATATTATAGTAAAGAAATTACAAAAATCAAATTCGATGTGAAAAAAACATGGGATTTAATTAACGATATAATGGGAAGAAAGAAAATAAATACGGCTATACTACCTCAAAGAATAAATATCAATAAAACTGATATCTATTGTCCATTACAAATCTCGAATGAGTTAAATAAATATTTTACAAACATTGGCCCTAACCTTGCTAAAAAAATCATAACTACACCAAATTCTTTTCAAAAATATCTTAAATCTTTAAATGGCGCGATGCTGCAAGATCGCAAATTTTCTCATGAAGAGTATGAAATTGCTTTTTCTTTTTAAAAAAAGAATAAATCACCTAGTTTCGATGATGTTTCTAGTAATATAGTTATTTCAAACAAAAAATACATCTCAAAACCTTTGTTCCATATTATAAAACTTTCAATAAAAAAAGGAATTTTTCCTGAAGCATTAAAGTTGGCAAAAGTATGTCAAATTTACAAAAATAATGATCAATGTGAAATCTCTAATTATAGACCTGTAGCAGTACTTTCTGTATTTTCAAAAATATTTGAACGTGTAATTTATGATAGAATCTATAACCATTTTAATGAAAATAATTTATTTTATACAAAACAGTTTGGTTTTCGGAAAAAACATTCAACAGAACACGCAATAATTGAAATAGTAGACCAAATTACTAAATGATTTAAAAATAATAGCTTCATTTTAGGATTATTTATTGACCTATCAAAAGCATTTGATACGGTTGATCACCTAATTCTTTTGGAAAAAATAAAACACTATGGAGTGATGAATAAAACCTATGATTGGTTAAAAAGCTACCTCACTGAGAGAAAACAATATGTTATTAGTAAGGAATCAGGTCAACTTAATATTTTGTGAGGAGTTCCGCAAGGGTCAATTCTTGGTCCATTGCTTTTCTTGATTTATGTAAATGATTTTAATAATGCATCAGCTAAGCTTAACTCAATAATGTTTGCTGACGACACAAATCTCTTCCTTTCAAACTCTGACATTAATCAACTGTATTCTGACATGAACTCTGAACTAATGAATGTAGATGAATGGTTTAAGGCAAATAAACTTTCACTCAATGTAGATAAAACAAAATATACTTTATTTCATAAAAAATCACAAGATGAAAAACTTCCTTTAAAATTATTTGACTTGACTATAAACGATGCACTAATTAGTAAAAATGATTCAATAAAATTCTTGGGAATTCTTATTGATGAAAATTTATCATGGCTTCCCCATATTAATTATATTCAATCAAAAATTAGTAAAACAATTGGTCTAATGTACCGTATTTGTCTATATGTAACATCAGAAAGTCTGAAATTAGTATATTTTGGCCTAATACATTGTTTCTTATACTATGCCAATATCACATGGGCTAGTACTCAACCAACAAAACTTAAAAAAATATTTTCTTTACAAAAACATGCATGCAGACTTATATATAAAAAAAAAAAATTTGAACATGCAAAACCATTAATGAAAGACATGAAAATGATGAATATATATGAAATCAACATTTACCGACACCTAATTTTTATGTATAAATGTAACAACAGCTTGATTCCAAAAAACTTTAATGATAAATTTACAATAAATGTAAACAAAAAATATTCTCTTAGAACAAACCAATGGAATACTTATAAATTGCCAAGAATTAATAGTAAGTATTCTGAATATGGAATATCATACCGTGGACCAAAACTATGGAACACTTTTCAAAAAACAAAAAATTTAAATACTGTAAAATCATTAAATTTCTTTAAGTTTATCATAAAAAATGAAACTTTTAAATTAGATAAATAGTTTTCTTGATTTTTCGAAATGAAAAACGAGTTCCATTATTCTTAGTTTTTTTACTTGTTAATTGGCTCTTATTTTGATACTTAACAGAGTTGCCAATATATTTTAATGAATATTGATAAAACTATATGATGTTATTTACTTTCTTGATTTAATGGAAATATTTATGCAAGCTTTAACCTTTTTATTATATTGGAGATACTATTTTTTTTAACTTGTAAAGCCCACCTAGGGGCTCTATGAAAAGATTGTGGTGACTTTAGTCATCCGTATCTTCTTTGAGTCCCTGCCTGTTTATTATAAATTCACTTTTTTTTGTATGTAAACGTTTCTTTGTAATTATATTTCTTATTATATAAACAGCAAATATATATTAAATAAAAAAAAAAAAGAACGCGTAACTTAATTTAAGATATTTTAAAGAAAGGATATACTTTCAAATTTAAATAAATTATAAACTTTAATATCAGTTTTATCACTAAGATTTGATTCATTTTTACTTCTTTTTATTGCATTATAAATAGATATAGTAAAGTATCTTAATTATATATATATATATATATATATATATATATATATATATATATATATATATATATATATATATATATATATATATATATATATATATATATATATATATATATATATATATATATATATATATATATATATATATATGTATGTATGTATGTGTATATATATATATATATATATATATATATATATATATATATATATATATATATATATATATATATATATATATATATATATTTATTGTACCTCTCCCCCCCCCTATCCTTCCCACACACACTTTCCCTCACTTACGAGACTTACGATACTGCTTACCCGTCCCCCCTTCCCTCCTTCTCCTCCTCTAAAATGTTAGAGTATTCAATAGACACTAGTATAACTTTTTTTATATAGTGGAGATAGACAGCAATAATACCTTGCAATGTTATGATCAAGAATTGGAAATCAATTCACTTACTGGAGTAAAACAAAACACTATCGAACTTACTAATAAAAGTGGCTGTTCTATGTGCATGATAATAAATGAAACAAATTACAAATCAGGATTAACTAAAATTACACAATCTTGTTATACTAATCAAATTGCTTGCTCTTATGATTGGTTCGCGCACTCAAATGATGATTCCATATACACGGTTTGACATTTTTTTTACGCGGTATTTAAGTATATTGTGCTTATTAACTAAGGAATTTTAAAATTTTTTGAATTTTCTAAAACCTAAACTTTTGTATTTTTAATTTAGACAACTTGTTGTTATGCTAATCTCTGCAACAGTTTGGCCACTACAAACGCAACCTTTAACTCAACCACTACAAACACAACCTACAACTCAACTATCATTAGTAGTTGTAGTTTTACTGATAGATTTTGGTTCTGGAATATTTTCGGAACCTTATTTTTAATTGTTGCATATTTATAATATTTCAAGCAATTTTTTTCTTTGTAATATTAGCTAAGATAAAATAGTTTAAATGGTAATGGTTGAAAGAATATTAATTGATAATAAGAAATAACATAAATAATTCTAGTGCAAACTATTGAGATAAATAAAAGAAAAGGAAAAACAAAACAAAAATTATGAATTTCAAATTAGTTGTTAAAATCGAATGTGATTTTTTTATTTTTCATATAAAAAATAATGCCCTTTTGATTTTAAATTTCACTTTTTTGATGTTTTTTTTTTAAGAAAATGTTACTTGATTTGCATTTGTATATATATTTTTAAATATTTTAAAAAACGAATCGTAAACATTTAAAATAATAGTAGATAAAAAAAGTTAACAAAGCCTTTTCATTTTCATTATGTAATTTTTGTGCAGCCGTGCCGCAGTGGTTAGAGTTCAAGCTCAGAACCTAGAAGTCCAACCAAGGAACTCCAACTAAAGAAGTCCAACCAAGGAATTCCAACTAAGGAGGCGTGACTAACTTCCTAGTTAAATGCTCTTACGCGGTGCAATCTAATACCGTAAAGGCTTCTGGGATCACCTTTAAAAAATAATAATAATGGTTACAGTAATCAACCAATTGTTTCTCTCACAACTGTCTAAAATGAATCCTCTGCCATCCCTTCTGCCACCAGGAGTTTTGTATTTAAAATAAGTTCTTATTCAAAAAACAAAAATTAAATAAGTGTTCGTAATTATAAATGAAAATGAAAAACAAAAATTGAAATACTGTAAAAGACTTACCAGATAGGTTTTGGTTTGTACTTTGGTCGCTAGATGGCAGTGCTGATGTCGATGAAGCTGGTAAAATTAATTTTTTAAATTTTTAATTTGAAATAATTTTATAAAAATTATAAAACAAAAAAACAAATAAAATACCGGTCTGCTGTAAATGCTCTCCAGCAGCTAAATGGATAAAAAGTATAACTCTTTTTTAGCTCAATTTACAACATTATAATTTATCATATATTTACCAATGCTGCATTTATTACAACAATAAAAATCCTACCAAGAATTTCTTATCTTTCAGCTAAACTTAAAAAAAATGAAATTATTTTTATTTATTAAAAAACATTTAAAAAAACAAATTTACAACTTGATTAAGATATATCTACCAATTTCTTTAGAATTAAAAAGAAATATTTTTACCAATCTGCTGCTTTATCACCACTAAAGTAAAAGTTAATTCAACTAGTTCAATTTTTTATTATTATTAAAATATTAGAAAAGACAAAGCAAGTTAAAGACCAAAACCTTTTTTTTGGCTAAGTACAGATAGACTATTTTAATACATTTTGTAACAACATTTTTATACAAAGTTAAACAGATTTTATGCCCCAAAATATACCTCATCTCATTCTCTTCTGCTTCCTAACATAAATAACTATAATTAAATTTTGTTGATTTCAAATGAACCAATTTATGAGTACAAAAATAAAAGATTGAAAAATAAAAAAAAGATGAATAAAGGTAGCAATAATCTATTAATTAAAACATAGTTCATACACAGTTCATACTAAATACACAGTTCATACTAAATACACAGTTTATACTAAATACACAGTTCATACTAATTACACAGTTCATACTAAATAAATCAAATTTTTGCGCATAAGTGCGCAAACAGCATCAAGACAAGCAGAAGTAATTTTTTTTAAGCTGGTTATTAATGAAGTTTAAACGAGTGTTAGTGGTTAGCAATGGAGCATATATTGATTATAAAATGCTAGGGGCAAGAGAACTTTCAAAAAAATCTGTTCTTCTGAAAAACAGAGCAGCTAGATTAGATTTATAATTATTTATAAATAAAATTTTTCTCACCAGCTGAATACCAGAAACATGATCAAAAGTTGCATTCTCAGCTAAAAGAAAAAAACTTTTTCGTCCAAGGCCCAGTATAGAGTTTTCTAAACAATCCAAGCATCTCTTTTATGGCAGTTTTTTTTCAAAATATCGCTCTCAAAATTGCTTGCAAACTTTTACATTTTACTTTTTCCTCACTGAGGAAATGTTCAAACTCACTGTAATGTTTAATAGAAATGAAACAAGTATGAAATAGAATATGAAGCAGATTTCTACGATACTTTAGAATAATACTCAGTGGTAGATCATTTTCATCTAAAAAATTTACAAATCCATTTGGATCACCTTTGATCTAAAAACCTCATTTTGTTGATTATTTGAAAATTATTGTATGGCAGTTAAAGTTGATAAAACAACTTTTACTGCCATACAATCAATTCCAATAAATTAACAACTTTCACTTTCAAGAGACTGTAACGCTGAGCGACATAAATTTGTAATTGTGTCACCGGCATTATGCTTAGTTTGAATGGCCTTAACTTATGCTTTTTACTTAATTTCAAAGTTTTTAGCGACAGATCCGCTCACTATAATATGCATTTATATATACTTTTTTGCAGACCACGTATTTCTGCCCTTAAAGCTTTAATTATTTTTTCTTGTTGTTTAACGTTTTGTCTTGAAATACGTAATTGATTTGGCATGCTGTTTAATTCAGCTTTTAATAGTCCTATCTTGCTTCGACGTTCTATATACGAGAAAAGACAAGATACCCTACCTTTTAGTTTTGTTTTATAGGGCTTTGTTTCTCTCTAAGGATGTGTTTAATAACATTTCGTTTGTTCTAAAGAGCCTGATGATAATTCAATATTAGTCAAATTTGATATAAAAAAAGGTTCATTGCAAAAGTCAAAAAAATGATTATTATCCTCAGCCCTATAAAAATGTCCAACCCCAATGACTTATAAATATAACTAGATGCGTGACTCGCAGCTTTTTGCATATAACTCAGTAAAATCAGCGTTTGCCATTTTGCCGTACGGCAAAAACATGAGACGCGACTATAAAAACGAGATTTATTTATCAAAATAATAATTAGTCATGAAATTTTGACTAATTTTTTTATTATAAATTTTTTTATGATAAATTAAATTTGATTAATTAAGCATCTATACAGAATTAAATTTTACTATATTTTCAATTTATATACATATATATATATATATATATATATATATATATATATATATATATATATATATATATATATATATATATATATATATATATATATATATATATATATATATATATATATATATATATATATATATATATATATATATATATATGCTTTAGTTAAAATGCTAAAGTACACATTAATAAAGAGAGTCCATAAAGAGATATTGTATATATATATATATATATATATATATATATATATATATATATATATATATATATATATATATATATATATATGTATATATATATATAAATCATATATATATATATACATATATATATATATATATATATATAATATATATATATATATATATATATATATATATATATATATATATATATATATATATATATATATATATATATGTATATATATATATATATATATATATATATGATTTATATATATATATATATATATATATATATATATATATATATATATATATATATATATATATATATATATATATATATATATATATACAATATCTCTTTATGGACTCTCTTTATTAATGTGTACTTTAGCATTTTAACTAAAGCATATATATATATATATATATATATATATATATATATATATATATATATATATATATATATATATATATATATATATATATATATATATATACACACACAATTATATATATACACATATATATATATATATATGTATATATATATATATATATATATATATATATATATATATATATGTATATACATATATATATGTATATATATATATATATATATATATATATATATATATATATATATATATATATATATATATATATATATATATATATATATATATATATATATATATATATGTACATATACATGCAAATGACCAATATGTTTCAGATTTTTGTATCATAACTTTTATTTGAAATATTGATGATATTGGGAATCCGTTAAATGTTTAAGGTTCTTGGGGCACCTATAATGAATAATAAAGCAAATTTCAAGTCATGAAAGTTTACAAAATTTAAATCATATTTTAACAGTAGAAAACCTAAACTAAAACAGTAGATTGTATAGTAATAAAAGATACATTTAAAAATATTCAATTAAAAGTAGACATGAATTAAAACCTGTAAATTTTTAAAGCCTTTTAACAAAAAGTTTTTTTTTAGCCTAGTCGAAGACTTGCTTTGATTCCTTGAATAAGTTTGAGAGTTTGATTATTAACTATTAGATTTGAGTCTAATAGTTAATAATCTAGCAGCAATTTTTCAAAAAGTAGTAGTTGCTCTTAAAAATTTAACAGTTATAAACTATTTGAAAACTTACATTTATTTTAAATTAGTCATATGTAACGCGTTCAGAATTTAAGATTTTTGCCGTGCTGCCATCTTGCAGTACGATAAAAATCTTGATATCTGGCTTCACTCATTTAACTCAAGTCACCTATCTAGTTATATACGTCATTGTCTAACTCAACTCAATGATTTATTTATGAGACTCTTAACCTGATTTTTACATGTTTTTATCTTGAAATGTTTAAGATAAAAATATGTAAAGCCTGTTGATATATAGTGATTAACAACCCATTATTTTTTTGAAATAATAAAAGAATATCTATTTATACAAACTGTATTATACTCTGTATTAGAGTCAAAGCTTATTTGAGATAATGCAAAACTATCAGTTAAATACTTTTTGCATTAAATATAAATTCACTATTTTTTGGACCAACGATAGCTAGAAAAAAATATATTAAGTAGCTTAAAATATAATAATATATTAAAATAATAGTAAATATACTAAAATTACAGTTGCTAACTGCATTACAAATAATAAAGGTGGTAGACTGCTAAAAAAATTATTTGTGTGTTTTACAATATTTCAATTGATTTTTATAATTTAAACATTATAAATACATTTGAAAATTGTTATTTTAAATTTTTTTTTTCTTTTTCATATATATTCTGGGCAAAAACAGGCGATTTTAGGCCAAAAACAGGTTAAAATCTTGGGAAAGATATCTCAAACAGTCTAAAATCTTGGGAAAGATATCTTAAAGAGTATACTAAAATCTTGGAAATTCTCAAAGACTTTAT